CGACTTTCGCGAAGCTGTAACTTTTCCTCTATTATTTTGACAGTTTGAGACATCTTTCTGAAACTTTTCCTGAATAATCTTTAAACAGATAAGCAGATTGCTCGTTTAAAGATTTATTATGATTTAAAGCATCATTACTAATGGGTATTAGAGAATGAATGTGTATTAGAGAATGTTGTAAGACAAAAAAGTTTCTTCATTTAGTAAAATAGCATCATTAATAAATTAATATAACAACATCTTTAAAATGATATAATATAATACATAACGTTTTTATTTTTTTTTTAAAAGAAACAAGTCGTATTCTTTATCAGAGATCTTCAAATACAACAAATCCAGAAAACAGAAGAAAGAAAAAAAACAATTCAGCCTTAAAATACTTTAGTTACAAGTGATCCTTTCTATATAATGAAGCAATGTAAATGATATTTGATTTGTTACAATTAATTTAGTCTATGGTTTGATAGTCATCTAACCCAGTTGTTCGGCAATCTTTTTTCTATGCATATAATTCAATAAAAATCAAATTACCATGAAAAAGTTTTAAAAAAGTAAAGAAAAGCACGGTTTGTGTTGATGTAAATAAAAAATACCACAACTGAGCATTGCATTAGTTTTAAGTTGTGCGGATGTAACAGCCTTACACCTTGTTTAAATACACCATACTCCTCAAATCTTTCACAGGGTTGTATTCACTATGACTTTGAATACACTTAAAAAATGCTCTAGCTAGAGTGTCACAGACAGGAAAATAAATTTTGTTTTTATTATTGTTATAATTGTTCTGTTATCTTTTTGGCAATCCTGGCAAAACACTATTTAAACAAACTAGAAACGCGTTTATTTAAATATTAGTTACGAAAAGAGTTACATTTTAGTGCTATCTTTAGATTTTACTAATAGTATTATAGCCTCATATATTTAAATTTTTTAAGATAATTTTTGCAGCGTTTTTGATGATTAAACTAGTACTAACAACTACTGAATAATAAGTTTGAACATTCTGCACAAACTTAATATATAGTTTAAATTTCTTACCAAAATTATTAAAAATTATTGTCATAAAAATACTTTTGGCAATGCTATTCAATAGTTAATAATATAGCCTATACTGTCAATTGTTTAATAGTATTGACAATAGCTAATTTCTTTACTAAAAAAGTTATATTATTGTTTAATTTTAATAATACGCTGTTATAAAGTGTGTATATTAAAAAAGGTATGCATAAAAACACATATCGTATACCAGCATGCATGATACTACTATGCATGCATGTGTATGGTAAGTATTTTTATGCATACCATATTTCCATAAAATTATTATGCACTTTAATTTTAAAATTTTTAGAAGAGCATACAGTGGTGGTGGACAAAAGTAAAAAAAAAAATACATTATCAAAAACTACTTTGTTATATACATTTTTATAGCTTAAACATTCAACTTTTCAAAAATGTTTATATTTTTGTTTAATTTTCATGCCATATGATTCTAAGTTGTAGGATAAAAAGTTTCTTTTTTAAACTTTTCTAAATTTTTCAATTTAATTTGACGTTTATATTTAAAAAATTTTATATGAAAACAAATAGAGACCTGCCCAAACTCTAAGTCTTAATCGCTACATGTGCTGAAGCCACTTGTAAGAGATTAAACAGAATAACATAATTAAAATCATGAGATACAAATTATTAATTAAAACCGAGATAACAATAGAAATTTTTTTTTAATCCAAGGTTCACCAATTAGACAAAATAAGTTTATCTAAAAGTTTATTTAAAGACAAGAATTAACATTTAGAAGAGTATTGCTACTTCTGTTCTAGGCTAGCACAACAATTACAATCTCTATTCAAAAACAAATAAATGGCTTTCCGAACCCTAAACTTTGTTGCTACATGTGCTGAAGCCTCTTGTAACGACTGCTTTAGAATATTATTATAAAAATCACGTGATACAAATTCTAATATCTCCGCAGGAATCACTTTAATTTAGACAATTTTAACTATTTTAGAAACGGTAACCGTAAACTAAAACCGTAAAAACCTTAAATCCCCAGAAAGGAAATTCTTATTTTTTTTATGCTTGAGAAAGTAATTGTAATTTATATATGAAAACTAATGGAGACCTGCTAAAATACTAACCCTTAGTCGCACGATGTGCTAAAGCCTTTTGTAACAGTTAAACAGAATAACATCATTCAAACTACGAGAGAGACAATAATTTTATCCGAAAGTTTATATAAAGGCATGAAATAATTTAATTTTAAAAGAGAAATTCTAATTTTTTTCTAAGTTTGAAAAAGAAATTACATTTTGTACATCAAAATAAACGGATAGTTGCCCAAACCCATACCCTCAGTTGCTGGATGCGTTAAAACTGATAACAGCTGTTTTAGAATGACATTATTAAGATCAGGTGACACAAAGACAACCCTGACCTAATTCTGACCTAGGCCTGTGTCTGACATAAAATAAAAACCAAGTTAATTGAAAGAATTTTTTAAGGCTTATACATCCTCATACATATATATTAAGATATATATACAATTTGTTAAAGGCTTATTTTATCTTAAAAATGCAAAATCTCAATAACTTAGTATAGAAAAAATTCCAAATAAAAATTTAATTGCAGTCCAAGGCTTGTTTTGACCGGTCACAAACGTTGATTAAAAACATCAAAATATAACAGATAAGGAAAAATGAGTCTGTAGCTTCTAGAGTTTTAGAAACTATAAAAGCCAACTAAAAACTGATTATTCCTAAAGTAAAACTAATATTAATAATCCCTATAAAAAAGTTTTATTAAATATTGAATCATTCTCTTTCCTCTTTTTAGGCTTTACCTAAAGAAATGCTTAACGCAAACTAGAAACATTAAACCGTGGACGATACAGTTGTCTTTTTTTACAAACAGTTTTTTTAGGCTTTACCTAAAGAAATGCTTAACGCAAACTAGAAACATGTGACAAAGGATGACCTCAAAGCCCTTTGATAACTGAAAAGAAAACGAGTAGTCGATATCAAACATACGGACAGAGAACGAGGCACCTGCGTGCCTCCCTCTTTTTCCGTAGAAGTAACTATAATGACGATGGCTGCAAACTTAAAATTTTTTAAGGAAGTATTAATGAAGCAATCACACTAATTTCCACAATCTATAAAGAACTATAATTGGTTTATTGACGACATCGCTTTTACGTTTCACAGGTTGGAGAACTAAAAAAATGGACATTAATTATGAACAGGCATTCAGGTTTACCAAGCTGACCACATAGACTTAGAAAAAGAGCTTAAAATCAAGCAAAAATATTTGTCATCAAAAAATACTTGTCACCAAAAAATACCCACTTAACCTAGTCAATTTCTATAAGCAGAAATGCCTTAAAAGAAGCGCAAATGGATCTACTCATTACAATACCCCAAGAAAAACCAAAAAAATATAATGAAAGTTTCTACCAATTGTTATGACAGTTGACCCAATCGGAATAGAGATTGCAGCCATAATACTAAAACGTTGGAAAATAATCTAGAATGACAAAAACCTCTAAAAATAGTATTCAATCAAAGACTAACGAAAACATACAAAAACTTAAAACTCAATAAAGACACTCTCAAACACAAAATATTTAGATAATAATTACACGGGATCTGGTGAACAGACTAGTACCTATTACAAACACTAAAAGATTTGTGACTTTCGAACAAAATGAGAAAGTCAGTCTAACCTAGACTAAGTTGTTAAAATGTTATAGTTAACTTGTAATCTGAATTTTTTTTTTTTAAATAGTATATTTCTAACACCATCAATTAAAGCGATTTATTATTTGTGTGAATAGATGGGTGTGTGTGTATGTCTGTGTATGTGCGTGTGCGTGTGTGTTTGTGCGTACACATATGTAAGTAAGCATGGGTTTATATTAAGTTGTGTAGACATACACACAAATTTTTATATAGATATTTGGGTATACATACTGGTTTATGTATGATTGCGCATATGTGTGCATGACTGTCTATTAATAGAAATGCAAAGATAAGAGCAAACGTACTAACATATCCAAAAACAAAAGGTCTAAAAAATGCACACGAAGCGAAGGAGAAAGAAGAAAAAATAAATAATGAGTTATGCAAGACCATATTAGAAGACGAAACAAGGTCTCC